GGGGCGGGCCGGGGGCGGGGCCTCATGCGCCAGGCTGGTGAGTGTCAATTATCAAGGAGGGACGGACACACAGACTGAAGGCCGACGGAGTTGCCACAGTTCCATGTTAACCATCTTCGTTTCCCACTCCAAATGCAGCGCACACTGGCGGTGCAGTGGTTACACGTTGGGCTGCCATTCACACGGTTGGCAGTTCGAACCCTCCAGGAGCTCCTCGGGAGAAAGGCGGGGCTGCCTGCTACCGCACACAGGTGGTCGCTATGAGGCCAGTGAGTTGGCTTTTCTGGAACCGGTGTACCTGAGAGCTCTCTGTTGGCTGACACCAGCGAGCGGCCACCTCTACAGGTAGCAGCTGCCATGAGAGTCCTGCAGGCCTTCCGCAACCAGAGGAAGGCGGAATCGTGAGGGCCTCAGGCCTTTCTAAAACAGGTGCTGGACGCAGGTGAGGACATGCACGCCAGCTCTGCCTGTGCCCCGTCGGTCGTCTCCTTGTGACTACGTTTTGGAGAGCGCTGGTCTACAGGGGAACTGCGTTAGTAAACCTAAGCCTGTGGTTTTCACTTAGGGCGCCCACTTCTCCACCATTGTCTGTAAAGTAGGAGGCTGGGCTGGAGGACAAAGGGCAGGTCATGGGGCCAGCGGGCCCAAGTTTGTCCCTGCCTTGCTACCGCTGGCCTGGTGGCCAGGGACAGGCCATTCAATCTTCGAGGTGCAGCCGTTTTCATGCGGCCTCCCCCAATGGTGCTGGTCCTCAGCACGTCACCTCCAGCCCAGCACGCTCAGGGCCCACGGAAGAGACCATACACAGTCGGAGAGTCTGGAATGGGTTGGGGGTGAGAGGCCATGTCTCGGAGGTGATGTCCGCCTCAGTATGTGACAGCATGCGTCTGGAAGTCACTGGCTGCCGTGGGGCTGCGGGCAGAAATGCAGGAGGGGGCTCCTCAAACTTCAGGGTCTTAATACGCACATCAGCACACTCCAGGCACAACTGAACTGAAGTGGAAGGACAGGGAAAAGAGGAAGGCCCTCAAGAGATGGATGGACACAGTGGCTGCAACGGTGGGCTCGGGTTGACCCCTAGCAACCTGCACAGGGCTGTTGAGGCCGTAAGCTCAGCCAGCAGTGCCACTAGGACTCCTGCCAGATAAACTTGGGCCCTAAATGAGACACAGATGTGTATCACACGATTTCACCAACAGCTATCAGATGCTGCCCGGCTATCAGAAAGAATTGTGTCTGGGTCTTAAAGGCTTGTCTTAGAGCAAGCAGTTATTGAAGTCAGGTGACAGCTAAGCCCACACGGAAGAAATACAATAGGGAAGTACACTGGAGCTTACATTCAGAGCACCGGGTTTGCAGAAGTCTATGAATGATACTGAAAGCCCAAAATCCATTTGCAGAATCCTCATGGGGAATAAGCCTCCACTGGATACCCTTGGACAGTTGACCTGGTTGGGAAAGGCCCTGCTCACAGACCGAGGGCATCAGAAAGTGAATAATTGCAAATTAGGTTAAAATTTAACATCTTAAAATGTGTTTCCCCTTTTAACCCATTCTTTTTTCTCCCCAACAGTTTTATTGGCAAGTGATTTACACATCATATAATTCAATAGTTCATGCACATTAAAGAGACTGGTACAATCACCCCACATCAGTTTTAGAGCATTTCTCCCTCCCACAGTTAAGTTGCTTCTAAGATGAGTTATGCAATCAGTCCATTCTAGTGCCCCCTCCCACCTTCCCTATTTACTTCCGAGACCCCCCTTCCCTCCCCATCATCCACCCCCCACCCCTGCATTCCCTCTATCCCCTTGTATCCATTATTCTCATGCACGCGCCCGCCCGTGCTGCGCTTCACAGCTGGGAGACCTAACAGACAACAAACATCGTGCTCAGGTGGTGAGGATAAAGTCATGATAGTACAAAGACAAAAGTATAAATGATGCATCGGTAAGAAGGAACAGATTCCGACAACATTCAAAAAGCCAGCGAAGACATTTCTGTCACAGGCCCAGTAAGAGACACCTGCCCCAGAACATGTTCTGGTCCCGTCTATAGGGGCCAGCTGGCCAAGTGTCAAGGTCAGTCCACCATCAAGATTACAATAGCCTCCGTCTGTTAGCAAGGCTGTTCGAAACTTGCCTGTGTTAACTCGTTCTTTTTTTTTTTTTCCCTTCTCTTTCAGGAGAACGCAGTCCCCCACTACCACAAATTATGCAGTCGAGTTTCCCACATTTGGGGAAATCGCAGGGGTCAGCACGTCCGGAGTGCAATGGGTGAGCCTCGCCCTGGGAAAACCCCCGTCGTGATCATGGTATCTCCCCTGCCAGGTAAGTATGTGTTAACACATTCTTAATTCTATTTTTGTTTCTGCTTTCGGAATGAAAAAGTAAACAATGTTACTGAACAGGCTGTCTGAAAATTGTTAAATGACAATCATCTGTGTAAACCTCACTGGAAACTCTATACATTTTTATTTTGAAAAGAGAGAGATTTACCAAAAGGATAAAAAGAGAATCCACAGATGTGGGAGAGGAGGGTGGATCTTATGGCAACAACATTATCAGACAAGGGACTCTTATCTAAAATGTATGGAAAGGGTTAAGACTTCAGCAACAAAAAGGCAAACGGGCAGAGGACACGAAGAGACACTTCACCGAGGAAGACATTCAGGCAGCCAACAAGCATGAAGACGGCTCCTGATGGTTGGGCGCAGAGAGCAGCAGATCAGAGCCACAAGGTCTCACCTCCACATTCATAGCAAATTTAAGAAACAGAAACCGGCCACTGCTGGCAAGGGCCTGGAGAGCCTGGAACCCTCGTATTTGCTGGTGGGACTGTGAAAAAGCACGTGAACAATGCCACTTGCTAGGGTGCTGCCTTAAAAGGTGGGCATTGGGGAGAGGAGGGGAGGAAGGAGGAACCGATCAACACATAACCACACATCCCCTCCAGGGGGACGAACAGCAGAAACCATGGGGGAAGGGAGACGGCGTCCCTGTAAGAGATGAAAAGAATTATAATTTATCAAGGGATCACGAGGAGCGGGGAGGGAAAAAAGAGGAGCTGATACCAAGGACTAACTAAATCAAAAGTAAATGTCTAGAAAAGAATGATGCAACATATGTACAAATATGCTTGATACAAATGATGTATGGATTGTACTAAGAGTTGTAAGAGCCCCAATAAAATTATCTTTTAATAACATTTTTTTTTTTAAGTGGGCATTAACCTACCGGGTGACCCAGCCATTCTGCTACCTGGTACCCATCTTAGAGGGCTGAGAACCACCAGGGCTGGAATAGCGATGTGCACACCCATGTTCACCATCGCACCGTTCACGGTGGCAATAAGATGGTGCGGGGTGCGATTGTATGTCAACTTGGACCTGTGTGGAGAAAGGGTGGAGTCCAGGCTGGCAGACAGATTGCACCGGTGATGCCTCCTGGAGGCTGTGGCTGTTGGGTCAGAGCCCTCTGCAGCCCTTTGTCTTCCAGCTTGCCTGGGCCCTGTGTCTCACTTCTGGGGCCAGTAGCCCAGGTGACTTGCCCGCCTTGGGAGCTGTGTGTGGTGCCTCGCTCTGCACACACCAGCCTGGACTCTGGACTCCCAGCTTCCCGATTTGTCCTCCTGCTTTAATCCACCAGCCGCAGCTAGGGCTGCCTACGAGCACGGAATTGAGTTTGGCTGGACATGGCCACTTTTTGTGCATTATTTTATTATGAACATTTTAGGAATCATTTTATTGATATACCTTACATGATCCAGTATATCTATCCACATACAATTCTGTTGTTCAATCTCATCAGGTGGAATTATACAATCATCAATGCTATCAGCTCCCCATTTCCCCCGTGATAGGAAGGTTTAGTGTGCCAACCTGGCCAATACGAACATGTGGGATTAATCAGGTCGC